GCGTTAGGTTCTCGGCTCGGGACTACCTAAGCGCCGGCGACAGCGAGCAAAGTTATCACATTGGGTATGTAACTACATTTATCACAACCTAATATGACAAGTCGAATAACTTTTGCCTGACTACCCGGCAGCCCTCCCTCTCTCTCTCTCTCTCTCTCTCTCCCTCCCTCTCACTCTCTTGACAACTCGTTGGAGACTTTTGTCCACTCGTGAGCTCTGCCCCGCTCGCTCTGTGTGTAGCTGTCACAGTATTCGCTAATTGGAACATATTTTGCTGCATCAGCTTTGGCTGTGATGCTTCCCCCGCGACTCGCCGCCCTTCCCTCCCATCGACCGCCAGTCTGGTGCATGATGATGTACGCGCAGTCCGTTTGGGATTTATGCATCCTCTCCACTGTGCACAATGAAGATATCAGAATTTTGTGAGGCCTTGTCGCAAGTGCAAATAGTTGCGACTATCAAAATTAGCCGCAGCTAAGGGGACTGGCAGAGGGGAAAGTGGGAGGAGGGACAATCGATGCCCGATGGAGCCCACATCCATAATTCATAACGCTAATTAATAACGCCCCGCTTCAAATGTTGCGTGTGTGTGTGTGAGAGATGAAAGCCGAAAATGCCGCCCTATGCACATAACAGGATAATGAACTCGAGACACCACGCCCACACAGCGCCCCTTCGCCGCCCCCCTCCCTTTGCCGCTTGCTCTGCCCCGGTGCCTTATTGAAATTCAAATAAACCTCCTTTTTGAACGAAGGGTTTTCGATTTGAGTTTTAGTTGCGGCTGGATTCCCCTTTTTTTTCTCTGGGCATTGCCAGTCTGACATGGAAAATGTAACGCATTGAGGACAGTTCGGAAATCATATGGTATATATATATATTCTAGATCAGCATCAAAAGCCGTCTGTCTTTTTCTACATCCCACATCTAGATATCTTGCATAGCTCCGTCTTTCTGTTTATATGTCAGAACTGGCCAGATCGGACCACTATATCATATAGTTGCCATAGGAATCATCAGGCGAAAATTCTCATGTTTCACTTTTCTGTTTTTTCGGAATATTTTAAACAACTTTTACCATTCTCTACATTAGATTAGTATATTATGCAGTTCCCAAAGTAATTATTAAAGGAAATTCGGGTTTTTTTCAGAGCAAATTGTGTTTCTTTAAGCAATATTTTGAGCTACAATCAAATTCGAGTTAGTGTATAACAAACTTTTGTTGCTTACTCGGAATAAATTTAACTTTTAAGAACTTGCCAAAGTATTTAATAATGTGAGCTAACAATTTTTTTTATAAAATATTGCCATATAGCATATAGCTGCCATGGTAACACTTTCCACTTGCTTGGAAAAAACTCTTGTCTTTCGTATTTTCTTATAAATATCTCTAACTAAACGCAAATAGTTATTAGTTATCTAACGTTCCCTGCTTGGGCTTCTCTTATATATCTTGCAGCAGATATAGGAACAATCAGCATGCATTTCGCATGTGCCCGCCTGCAAGGGTATTTAGTATTCAGCATAGCTCTTTTTACTACATGCTCTGTTTTGTTGTTGTTGTTGTTGTGGTTTAATATATGTTTTGTTTTTCGGCTATCGCGGCGTTCGCATCGCGCCTTAGGTGTAAAAATAAATGTTTAAAGTAACAACTTCTTAAAGAGCTGAATTATGGGCCACATGCGCGGCCGAGCGACTGACTTGGCCGCACCCGCGCACCCTTCGCACCCGCGCACCCCCCCTCCACACCCGCGCCACATCTGACCGTGAATCATGCCATCAATCTGTGGATCCTTAGCATAGTCGAGAGCCTGAGCCTATAATTTGTACAAATTTGTTGGCCTGATTGATGCGACGGCGGCGCGTTTCTTCGTCTTTGGCCACAAAGTTGACCATGTGGCGCGCCAAAAAATCTATTAAACAACATTTCGAATTAAGTCCAAAACAAAAACAATGAAGACGCAGAAGAAGAAGAAGTGGTAAAAAAAACCAGCTGCCTGGACTCCATCCCCCCCCCCAGCTGAACAATGCACAACTTGACAGTTGCTGTTTATCAAATGCTCATTTCTTATGCTCTTCCATAAAAAGACCAAAAAAAAAAGAAAAGAAAAGAAAACAAAGGTGAAAGTTCTTCCGGCGCTGTCGTTTTCAATGCCCTTTCATAAGCCTTGCCTACTATTCTAATATCAAGGTGCAGTAGCGCTGCCCTCGCAATCGTCGTCCCCCTTTAACCTCTCTCAGCCCCACACTCTTTTCGGGTCGCCGAGGGGGAGACAATCGCATTGAGTTGTCAAGTGTCAGCGTTGACATTGAAAGAATAGAATCAAATGAAAATAATATGGAATAGTTGAGTAGAGAAAACTCCATGCCCTTACACTTTTCATTCCCGCTTTGGGCCCACATGGAGACCCAGACCCAGTTCTTTTACGGCAAGGTGACAATGGTCCTTAGAGATATCCTTCATTGTTCTGTTGCTCTTTAATGTGTCAAAATATAGTCCAAAGAGTGAGTCTGTCTTTTTTTTCTTTTTTTTTTGGTTGTTTTGTAATGCAAAAGTGATTTATTGTTCGGTTTGCTCTGTTTTCGGGGCGTGGGAGCGGACAATCCCGCGAACAACAGACTCTTTAATATAGCGAAGAAAAAGGATTTAGATTCAAGCAGCCAACGACCAAAAACAACTCGAAATGCAAAGGCCGCCATCTCTAGCTTAAAATGAACTGCGTTTTTAAGAAAATTTTTATAAACATATTTCTACAGCAGAATCTTGAAATCTGACTTTCAGAAAATTAATTGATTTGGTTGAAAATCGCATTTTTGTTCATAGAAAATTAAAAATTAAAAATATTACTTAATACCAATTTTTTTAATATATATTTAAGCTAAGTGTAAAACGCATTTCTAAACTCTAGTCTTAAGATTTCCAGTACATTTCTGGCTCAAATATTTATTAAATAAATAGGAATTAAAACATATTTATTTTAGGAATTTTTAAAAGAGAAAGTTGTTTTGGAAACTCGATATAAGACTGTCAATAGGCTTGGGTTATATTAAATAATTGTACAAATAATTTCCATACTTAAAATAAGCATAAAACTTCCTCAACTGAAGCCAAATATCGCATTGACTGGAAACTGTTGTTAAGTCGTGTCACTGAGAATATTTGAATTATGTAAATTGTTCTTGAAATGAGAATTTCGTTCTCAATTCAAGTAACTTCGATCTAAGCTGGGACAAAACATTGCTTTGTTCGTACGCAAATGTTAAATTTTATGTCCATGTTAGAGAAACGAGAATTAAGGCTTAAGTATAAAATAAAACATTCGTGAATATGTTTATCACACGTAGAACGTACAATTTGTTAGAGAAAGATTATGAGATGCGAAATGATTTATACAAACAATAAAAAATTTCGTGCGCAGCTTTAGCTAATTCAAAATTTTCCATACATCAATTTAATTGTTTTTTATATGAGTTTTCATAATTTGCAAATTTCTATATAAAATCTGTTACCTTTTCTCTTACCCAAGGAGGGGTGTATGTTGCGGAGAGCGTGAGTGTCAGTCAGTCAGTCTCGCTGTCTGTAAGTCAATCAGTCAGTCAGCTGGTCAATCAGTCCATCAGTCAGTCATTCAGGACAACGAGTTATATATACAGAGCTATTCGATACTTCATCTTGGTTACAATTTATAATTGGAAATGTATTGAAAAAATGTTCATCCAATAAACATTCCAATAAATCATCTAAATTCTCGCATTCCGATTTTTCAACTGCTTCAATATGCAACAAATTCGAACAACTGAAGTTATATTTTGAATGTCTGTGTTTTATTTGAGTTTTGGCGTCAATTTTGGTTATGTAAATTTTGTTCTCTTTGAGTTTTGGCTCGTCAGATCCGTTACAGATTCGATTGCCTTCCGTTCTTTTAAGTATTCGCCGCCTATTTCCGGCTTTGCGAAATGTTCGAATTCAATTGAAATAGCATATCTGAAGTATTTATTTTGAATTGCTTAGCGATAAGAGAGTTCCCAGTACTGGCCCGCCCTCCCCTGCGCCATAGCTGGCTATATCTCTCCTTCTCTATACATATAGCTGGATCTCTGTCTCTGTCTCTTTCGCTCCGCTGTACTCAAGTGCTTCGAGCACGCGTCAAGGGCGTCATTTTACTTATCAGCTTGTGGCCTCTGAACCTGGAACCTACCTGCGCTTTTTTTCATTTAGTATTTTTTGTGGTGTTTTTCGTGTAATTTGAATTTTGTAGTTTTCAACCACGCGCCAAGGCGGGGTTTACTTCTGCTATTTAATTAGGGGCTTTTACTTTTACTCTACCCTAACCGTGAGCTACCTGATGATGATGATGATGATGAGGCGCGTGTTGATGTGTCGGTTGATTAGCCCAAGTCAAGAAACAAGAAAAAAAGGGTTAAGAGCTTGCCTCTTTGATCTGGGCCCGTACGCTAATCCGGGCCCGTGCTTGAGTTTAGAATATTAACGGCTTCTCTGATGGCCCGCACATCCTGCTGGCCAGCTGGCACTTATAACCAATCTGTAGAGCGCAGTTCCACAACTGGCTCCAATCAATATATATATATATATATATATATTTTCATCGGCTCGCAACACGGGCACGGGCCACCATCATCAGGCAGCCCGCATCTTTGGCAACTCGCCTTGTGATGGGGGGCGTGGCTGCTGAAAATTGGCTCGGCTCTCCATAAGAAGAATCTTTCAGTTTGCTTAATAATTGTCTTTTATTTCATTTACAACAACTAATTAACATTTAATAATTAGCAATAATAGAAAAAAAATATCTGCTTATATTATATTTTATATATTTCATAAACTGGTCTCAAGTTAAACTTAAACTAAACAAAAAAAAATTCGCTTAAATTATGCAAAAAAAAAAAATAAATTGCTAAAAAGCATATTAAAATAATATTTAAGAATATAAAATGAATATTTAGAGTGCAAAAAAATATATATATATATGTATGATAATCGTAACTAGGCTAGAAACTGAGTCTATTTACAATTTGAGGCACTTGGTTCAACTCAAAATATTTTGACTAGAAAGCAAACAGCAGGATGATTATGATTGATGTTCGTTTTGGGGCCCTACTGCTCCTGCCACAGCGATATATAGTCCAGTATTTCCTCATCATCCGGCGTGCAGTCCTCCTCGTCCAGCTGGAAATGCTCGTACGGCTCGAACTTCAGCTGCAGCTGGGCATCCATGGGCGCCACGGGCGGGGATAGCTGCTGTGGCTGTGCCTCATAGGTGCCCGAGTCGAAGGACATGCTCGAATTGAATGAGGATGTCGGCGAGTGGCAGCCTCCAGTTGTTGTTGTTGTTGTCGTCGCTGTTGTTGTTGCTGCTGCTGCTGCTGGAGTTGTTGTTGTTGCCGCCAGCGTGTTGCCATTGAGCGTGATGGGCGTCAGCGGCTGATGGGGAAACTGCTGGCGCTGCAATTGCTGTTGCTGCTGCAGCGCTGTGGGCGTCGGCGTCGGGATGGGCGTGCCAGCTCCTGTTAGCAAAGCGCTGCTATAGTAGAGATTATGGCCCAGCTGCTGGCTGCCCAGGCTGGAGCTGCTGCTCGAGATGGATGAGCTATTGCTGCAGGTCTCCTCCTCGTCCAGGCACAGATTCAGCTGAGCGACATTGTAGTTGTTGCCATTGCTGCTCGGCCCGCCATTGAGATCATCGACCAGATCCTGCAGCCGCCTGATATACTCGACGGCGATGCGCAGCGTGTCCACCTTGGAGATTTTCTTGTGCGGCCCACGGCCGCCGCCCTTGGTCAGATCCGCTATGATCGACTGTGGTATATGCTGGCGCAGTCGGGCAAAGCTATTGTTCACCTGCTTGACACGGTTCCGTTCCCTGGCATTGCGACGCTGCACGGACTGCGACTGGTCCACGTTGTACGGCGAGCTGGTGGAGCAGCAGGAGCTGCTGCTGCTGCTACTGCTGCTGCTGCCGCTCGAGGCATTGGCCAGCGCCATGCCACGCGGCGTATATTTGCGCGTCTTGATCAGCGAGCCATTGCTGGAGCCGTTGCCGCTCGTCTTCAGCTCTGGAGCGGGCATTATGTGCTGGTAGCGATACATTTTGCTCGCACCGCCGATTGTTGTGGGAAATAGTTCGGCGGCGTTTTTGCCGACGGCGCTTGCATTGAACACCACACTTGACATTGTATATCTCTCGCTCACTCTCTGACTCTGTCTCGCACACACACGTTCAACAAAAAAAAAATTAGTATTATTTAACTTTTTGTTTTGGCAACGCAAATGTTTGTTTGAAGTACAAATTCTGTTTCTTTTTGGTTTCTTTTTTTTTTTCGAAGCTCAACTTGATCGTTTGACACCTTGCACAAGAATGAGTCCCTTCGTCCTAAACCTTCATGTTTTGTACCTTTCGCAATAGGCCGCGTGCGACTCACTCATGCGCTCTCAGCGCACGTCGCTCTCTCTCTCACTCGCTCACTCTCTCGCTCTCGGCTTGCGCTCATGCGCTTACCTGTGTGTGCAGGTCACAGCGACGGCAACCACCTGGCAATTGAGTCACACGCGTGCGGCAACTGTTGAGCTACAGGTAGTGAGAGAGAGAGAGAGAGCGAAAGTCAGAGAGATTGAGCAGGCGAGTGAGCAGCGGCTCTCTCAAATGCGCTCAGCTCTCTCGAGCTCGATCGCTGCCTGGCTGCCTGCTCGCTCCTGCCTAGCCTGCGCCTGATAAGACGCTCGCTCGCCATTTCGAACTGTTCCCACTCAGGCAACAAAAAAAAAAACTAACTAAATAAACTTCACTCAGGGCCTATCTTGAGTGTATTTTATTTTCTGATTGAGGATCGGTAGCTCGAGCTGAGCTCTGCCGCTGCCTTTGAGCAGCTCAGCAATGCATATTTATTTTATATATGAGCTCCTTTTGCTGTGGATTGTCCCAAATGAAACCAGCTCAAGAGGCAGCTAAAGTTCACTCAGAGCCATTTTCTTTAGCTTTAATTGCGAGGATCGGTAGATTGCATCGCTCAATTCTGATCTGCCTGTGTCTCTGACCAGCCCGAACAGCCATTCGTCCCCAGCAGTTCAATTGAGACTTAATTTAAGTTTTTATACGCGAGGATCAGTTGGCTCAAGCTGCGCTCTGCCGGCTCTTTCTTCGCGCACACTCAAAACTTCACTTGCTGCATTTCGAGCATGTTTTTATCTGTTTGAGTATACGAGGATCAGCAGCTCGACGATCAGTTGCTGCAACTGCTTCTGCTCTGCCGTTTGTCTTGTTCTCGAACCTGCCAAAATTATTTTCATTCAACAAGGCTTGCAAAACTTTACTCCCAGCTCGGCTGAGCGTATTTTGAGTGTCTCGCATTGATCAGCAAACTTTATTTTAGTATTTGAGCGAGTTTTTCTTCTGATTGATTCGTGCTCTGCTTGTGGCTCTGATTTTGATCGGACTGGGAACAGTTTCGAGGATCAGTAGATCGCGTCTGAGCCTTTGGCTGGCAGCTGTCCTGCCCAGCCCTGCCCTGCCCAGCCCTGCCCAGACCTGCCCTGCCCTGCCCTGTGCGTTTATGGCTTTCGACTGGATGGCTGGCTGCCTGGCTGAGTTGGCATCCCAGCAATTTGATTTCCGTGTTAATTAACTTAGCAAAACTCGCGATCGTCGTCGTCGTCGTCGTCGTCGTCGCCGTCGATCTTCACTCTTTTTAGCAGCCCATTTCATGTGCAGCTCACGCACACGCCCCTATTCATTAGCGCCGCCACTGCAAGAAAAGAACTGCCAAGAACTGGCTGAAGACAAGAACAACAGAAGAACTGAGGAGCTGCAGATCGGCAGAGCCGGAGAACTCGCCCCCAAACGCTTTGGCATGCGCGTGTCACCAGAGTCCTGCGGTGGAGCGCAACGGAACGGAACGGAACGGATTGTCGTGCTTATTAGCTATGCAGAGTCAGGCTTTGGTTAGGTGTTCGAACAATTTCACATATGCCTCTAATTAAACGATCAACAAGATCACAACTTTTTCCACGCATGCAGCAAACTTCCGTTTGACACTCTATCTCTCACACTCGCACGCTCGCACACTCTCCCTGTCTCGCTCTCACTCGCTGGGCATGATCAAGAAATGTTCGATCGTTTGATCGTGCGATCTTTGGTACGATCCATGGCCAGGTGCTGGCTGCATTTCGATTTGGTTTTATTCGGTTTTATTGTTTTTCACTCTTTCAACTCGTTCCCATTGTTGTGTTTGGCCACATTTTGTGCTGAACCATCATCGATCGAAACGGTAGCCGTGTCAATTTTCCCATTTCCCATTTTTCTCGTTTTCCATTTGCCAAAAACTCTTGACACAAAAACCCTTTTTTGACAGCCATGACCGACCCGATCGTCCGTTTGCTTGTTGCCGGCGCTGTTTACTTTGCATCCTTTGACAATTTGCGTAGCGTTTCTCGTCCTGTTCTTGTTTGCATGCTGCAGATTGGTATTTCTCTTCTTTTTTTTTTGTATTTTTGTATTTATGCATTGTAATGCCAAGGGAGCTCTGTCAGGGAATCGATGCCGAGCGCTCGGGTCCAGGCTTAGACTCCATTATTTTGGCATCATTAACACTTTTATTGTTCGCATCTCGGCAAATTCTACTCTTCGACATTTTTCGCATATCCTTTGACATATCCTTTTTGAGCCGCCGTTCCGCTATTGCTATTCAAATTGATTTGATAAATGCAACTCTCGCTCTTCTCTACCTTTGACATTTGCAGCAAGCGCATGATATTCCTGTTGAAATGTTCAAAATAGGGCTGTGAGGTTTTGTGTGGGCCTTTTGTCTGACCCGTAGAATGCGTCCTGATGACCCATTGTAGTTGATTCCCCTCTATGCAGAGACTCTGTCAAATGCGGCATATGCGAGAGACAACTCGTTGAAGTGCATTTGCGTAATGATCGCCAATTGGAGAGAACGGATCGTGTCCATAGATCGGCTTATGGTCAAAGCCTATGGACAATCGCTTGTGTTCTATTAGTTAGTCTGCGTCATCGAGTGATCGAAAAACCAAATGCAAAGAACTGATCTGGCTAGAGGATCGGCTTATGCTCTAAAGATACGTTATGTATATGGATTTTATGCCATGGATTAATCTGAGCCATTGCAAGATCACATTAGAGGATCGGTCAATGGGTAAAGTGTGGCCTTTGAATTTCATTAAAAATACCGATCGCCTAACTGAGGTACGATCGTGGCCTAACAAAAGGAATTGTGTATTCTTGTTGAGTTTTTACATGCAACGATCGCAACAAACAAAATGCCAAGAAGCGTCTTCTGAACCCAATGATTTAAATGTCATATGTAATATTACAGTACAAAAGATTAGTCTTAGGATTAAAGTCCATTGGAATATGGTGTCTGGTCGATTATAATTATAAGTGTGAGCAGCTTTGATCGTAATACTAAAACTATTCAGATCTCTAGTTAATATCACTATAGATTGACGAAAAAAGGAACGCAATGATCGTTAAGTCAAAGCAACACACAGATCTTCTAAAGGCGTGAATAGACCTTGATATAGATGCATATGTCTCAGAAGTATATTCTATGCTGCTGATCGAGCTCGAGTAGAAGCGCAGCTCATCATCTGAGAAGCAGCTTTCAACTTTAACCAGTGTTTGCCACAGATCAAACGATCGTCACATGCATAACTGATCTTTTTTTATGCAAGGTTTTTAATCGCTAGCAATGATCAAGCGAAAGGATCGGCTTTTGCTCAAAACGTATAGCTGAGGATCTCTGATCAAAAATATGCGTAGAAGCGCTGATTGCAGCACAATAAAGGGATCTACGCTTCAGTCGATCAAAGGCTCGTTTGATCTTTTGGCTTACATATTGTAGTGTACTCGACTGATCGCAGTTCGATATGTGAAGATCAAACGGATGCAGCAATCAAAAAGTCAAATCTTTTACATATGAGCGAACTCAAATCCAGATACAGTTGCTGCACTCGAACGATCGCTGATCGTATCGCCACGCTACCTGCATACTGGACTATTTTGCATGTTTTCCGTACCCTGCTCGAGCTGTAATCGCGGTCAACTTGGGGGTTAAAAATAGTGAAACAAGATCGTTTAGATCAGTTATCAAGCTGATTAACTGATCTATGCCAAAGCTGAGCTGCAGATCATGTGTTTGCATTTTTTTGTACTTTTTTTGGGTTTTTTCAGTGGCCAGAGTTCGGTCGCTGCTGCGCCCTGTGCCCTCTCGCTCTCTCTCCCTCCCTCTCTCTCTCCCTCCCTCTCTTTCTGTCTACCTCTCTCATTGTGGAAGTTGTTGCCCCTGGCAGCCGCAAACAACAACAGCCCCGCCCCCGCCATTGCCGAGGCGTTCATATCCTTTTGCAACGCTTGGAAGATTTAAATGCATAATTATTTTGATATGATGCATAGTTCCGGGACCGGACCAGGCAACAGATACCAGGGCGGCGCGTGCGTTAATTGCGTGCGAGCGAGCTAGAGAAAGAGAGAGAGAGAGAGAGAGAGAGCGAGTGAGAGAGGGAGAGGGAGGGAGGTATTATGCTCGCAGGACAGGCATATCCTGACTTGAAACTGGGGCGCGCGAGCATTGAGCGTTTTTCCATCGAAACTTGAAATGCAAAAATGAATGTTAATTGAAACAAGTTTCCGTAAGGACCTGCCGCCGGCTGCCCGACTGAACCCCGCTGGCCTATGCGCTGGCCCCGGCTATTAGCCAGTCCGCCGCGTCCCCCGCCCTGCGTTGTCCCGGCAACCGAGCGTAGTTGTTGCTCTTTTTTTCTGTCTCCCCTGTTCCCCTAACGCCCCTGCAGTCATTTTCGTAGTTAATATTTTAATTAAATGCAGGCACAGGACTCGCCCGGAACGCTCAGTCCGACTCCGAGTACGAGCTGACGCGTGGCAGGTGTATTTACGCGACCAAACACCACGAATCTGCTGCGATCGTGGCACCAGGGGCACGGGCTTAGAGAGACAGCCTCTCTCCCCCCCTCTCTCTCTCTCTCTCTCTCTCTCTGTCTCTGTCCCTTGTTTATGTTTGACTCTCGCTCTCTCTCTGTCTGCCGCTGCAGCTGAAAATGAACGCACACAAAACACATTTGGCTAGGGGTTGCCTGTCTCGCAGTCGCATTTTGTATCCAAGTACAAAAAAATAAATAAATAAATATACACACACACTAAAATAGGGGAGCTGGAACC